GGATATATGAAAAGCAATAGAAGCAATCGTGGGACGATTTGAATCTTTCTAGAGTATTCCAAATGCAGAGGACCCTCTCACTCGCGGCTGCTAAGTCTTCTTCTTCGACTTCAATTCTATCTCTTCGTCCTCTCATGGCTAAGGTTTGTGTTTTCGACTCTTTCCTCTGGTGGGCTACTCAAAATGTTCGATTCTCGATTCAAATTTCTCTTCTTTATGGATAAATCTCTAGACTTTCGTCGTTAAGGAATTGGAGTCATTTCAATTTTCCGTGTCTACTAGAACTAATGGAGATCCTTGTTTTTTTTTTGTTCGTTGCAGTTGCAGTGCAGGGCGATTCAGAATTTCCCTGTCTCGTCTTCCTCTTCAGTAGTTCGGATTGATAGAGTATGTAGAAATGTATGCCAGGTTCAGTTTAAAAGAGAGAATGCAAGTTGTTTGAAGTTAGCTTGCGCAGGTCCTTCGCATCTAAGGCCTCTTGGTTCTGTTGGTTATGCATCACATTGGAGTGGTTCGAGTTTAAGGTCCTTTGGAAATAGTTTCAGACCGTTTCTGGGGAGATATTTTTCTCAAGTTCCTAATACTGGAAATAAGGATAAGATTGTTGGTGGTGATGGAAAGGTTGGTGGGAATGTATCGGGTTTCAAGAAGTTTAGTAAGAAGCGGAAGAAACAAAAGGTTTTGGCTTCGTCAGAAGTTCAAGTGGTGGCTTCTACTGAACCGGTTATTGGAGATGTTGCCAGTGGCATCAAGGTTGACTTATCAACTGCAGCTTCACCTGTTAGCAATGGTAAGCACGCCCCTACAGTCAAAACAAAACGGAGGCCAAAGAGCAAAAAAGTCGTAGACAAATCTTCTTCAACGGTATCGGTTCTGGAGGCGGTTTCTCCAGAAGCGAGTTTGAAAAGCGTTCCCAAGCCAAAACATTCTGGTTCTGGATCTCCTAAGGTATTAAACATTTAAATTTTTGGTAACATAATAGTCTTACCCTTGCGTATTTTACCTAATAGTACAATACTCAGAAGGAGGTGGCAAAAAATCCCACTACAGAGGGGTCCAAGCCGGAACAACAGCATTTGAAGTCAACAAAAGCAAGCAATGCACCAAAACAGGAGGAAGCTGGGGAGCCAGCTGGGAAATGTTTTACCCAAGTCTCTAATACTGGAAATAAGGATAACATTCTTGGTGGTGATGAAAAGGCTGGTGGGAAGAAATCAGGTTTCAAAAAATTTAATAAGAAGTGGAAGAAGCATAAGGTTTTGGCTTCCACAGAAGCAGAAGCAGTGGCTTCTGCTGAACCAGTTATTGGAGATGTTAGCAGTGGCATGAAGGTGGACCTATCAACTGCAGCTTCACCGGCCAGCAATGGTAAGCAAGCCTCTACTGTCAAAACAAAAGGGCGCCCAAAGAGCAAGAAAGTCGAAGATAAAACTTCTTCAGCGGTACCAGTTTTGGAGGCGGTTTCTCTAGAGGAGATTTTGACAACCGTTTCCAAGCCAAAACATTCTGGTTCTGGAAATCGCAAGGCTTCATCTGCTAAGGTATTAATCTTTTAAATTTTTATGAACATAATAGTTTCATCCTTGCTTATTTACCTAACAGTACAGTTCTCAGAAGGAGGTGGCCAAAAATCCCACTATGGAGGAGCCCAAAAGTTCTGCTCCATCAAAATCCAAGTCAGAACGACAGAATCGAAAGTCAACAAAAGCAAGCAATGCACCAAAACAGAAGCTGGTTCCTCAACACATGAAAAACAGCATAGAGCATCGAGGTCAAAATGCATCTAAACCACTTTATCCGCCAAGTGGAAAATCTATTATTGTCGTTGAGTCAATGACAAAAGCAAAGATTATTCAGGGTTATCTTGGTGACATGTATGAGGTTTTGCCAAGTTATGGTCATATCAGAGACCTGGCCTCAAGGTCTGGTTCAGTGAGACCAGATGATGATTTTAGCATGGTTTGGGAGGTTCCTTCTGCAGCCTGGACTCATATTAAGAGCATAAAGGTGGCATTAAGCGGGTACGGTTTCTTACCTGTTTGACTATTTTTAAGAATCCACTGTTACTGTTATCATCTATTCCCTCGCCTAACTGCAAAATATTTTCCTTGTGTGTCATGATGCTGTCTACCTGTATATAACTGCTTCAAGCTTCATATGATATGAGCTACTTCTTTCCTATGGTTTTTCTTATTGTGGTTCTCTATCTCATTCTGTTTACCTTGTTCCTCAGAGCTGAAAATCTGATTCTTGCCTCGGATCCAGATCGTGAAGGAGAGGCAATTGCCTGGCACATCATAGAGATGTTGCAGCAGCAGGGTGCCTTACATGAAAGTATGACAGTAGCAAGGGTTGTTTTCCATGAGATAACTGAGTCAGCAATAAAATGTGCGCTTCGATCCCCACGAGAAATTGACGGGGACTTGGTACATGCTTATCTCGCACGGCGTGCTCTTGATTATCTAATTGGATTTAATATTTCACCCCTACTTTGGAGGAAACTTCCGGGTTGCCCGTCAGCTGGGCGAGTCCAGTCTGCTGCTTTGGCTCTTATATGTGATAGAGAAAGTGAAATTGACGGATTTAAGCCTCAGGAGTACTGGACTGTAGGAATCAAAGTGCAAGGGAAAGATGATTCAGCCACTTTTTCAGCTCACTTGACCAGTTTAAATTCAAAAAAGTTAAATCAGCTTTCTATCAGCTCTGAAGCAAATGCAAAGGACATAGAGAAAAGGATCAGATCAGAAAGTTTTCTAGTGAGGCGCACTAAAAAAAGCACTACCCATAAAAATCCACCAACTCCATACATAACATCAACCCTTCAGCAGGATGCTGCTAATAAACTACATTTTTCAACAGCACATACCATGAAGGTTAAGGAACTGAAACCTTTTTTTTTTCGTTCTTATTCACGAGTGCATATTTCTGATAGTAAGTACTATGCAGCTTGCTCAAAAACTATATGAGGGTGTCCAACTGCCCGACGGTAAATCAGCTGGTCTTATAACATACATGCGGACAGATGGTTTACATGTGGGTGATCTCTTTACTTGTGTATTTTCTGCTATGTGCATTCATCTTTGTTATGATTTTCAAAAACATTACTTTCTGACTGATTCATCTTGTCATCTGTTACAACTTCACTTTGATTATCGTTGATTTATTTGTTTTGTTTTTGTTCCCATCAGATAGCTGATGATGCTATCAAAGATATACAGTCCTTGGTGGCAGAAAGGTAAGACATAAATGCATATGCATCTGTAAATTTATTCTATGTTAGCCCACTTGACTCGAGAAAACTTTAGCTGCTATTACTTATTATCTGCAGGTATGGGAAGAATTTTACATCAGGTAGTCCTCGTAAATACCATAAAAAGGTTAAGAACGCTCAGGAGGCCCATGAAGCTATTAGACCTACCGATATACGTAGATTACCGTGTAAGTAAATAATCACCATGCTTCCTTAATATTAGAGGATTTCTTTTAGTCATAGTCAATATTTACCATACAAGTTTTTGTCGTAACTCTCATTATCTTTTATATGCATTTCCAGCAACAATTGCTAGCCTGCTTGATGCGGATTCTCTAAAATTATACACCTTAATTTGGTCACGAGCTATGGCATGTCAGATGGAGCCTGCTTCCATTGCGCTGGTAATATATGTGCTATTTTGCACGTAAAATCATCTATATAGTGTCAAGTAGGTTCTTATTGATCAGCTAGAGATATAGAAGGGAGAAAGGAGAGTATGTAACTGAATTATCCCATCAACCGATATTCAATGGTTCAAAGTTCAATATTTTTAATCCTACATATTTCTATATTTCCTGACTCTTTTCTTTCTCAGATACAACTTGATATTGGAAGTGCCTCTGAATCCATTATCTTCAGATCATCATGCTCGAAAGTCGATTTCCTTGGGTACCAAGCAGTTTACGAGGTACAACCTAATTCATAATATTGTTGATTACGTTGCAGTTGTATCATTAGGTGGGTTTTTAGTGCCTCACCTGTGTGATGATTCTATTGAGTTTGGCTTTCTGAGCATTTTTCGTCATCTTTTTCCTTCTCGTTGCTGTGATTGTCTTCTGCAGGCTTATTTTGCCGTCATTTGCCTATTCGTGATTTAGTCTTGTTTCTCATCAGCTAATGCGTCATCCGTCTTCTCTTTATACATGTGCTAAAGCAGTTTTTGTTGTTTCTCCTGGTGATATTGTAGGATCCTGAAGCTAAGGCAATCAAAAACAAAGATGATGACAAGAGTAGTGAGCGGGAGGAAACTTTTGAAACTCTCAATTTGTTGAAGGTACCATTTCTATTTTCTAATATTGCAAACCTTTTTTCAGCTGTGTTGTACTGTGGTGTCATTTCTTCTATCTTCAATTTTTTCTTCCATCAGAAATACTGTACCTTTATTAGGCTTCCCCTCTCTTTTCAGGATGGGGATCTGCTACATATTGGTGAAGTTGAGCTCAAACAGCACCATACTCAGCCCCCATCACGCTATTACGAGGGGTCACTGGTATAGCACTCGCATTTCCTTTGTGGCAAAAGTATCTAAGACCCAGTTCCACACTATGTTTTCCATCAGTCTATGCCCTTTTTGGAATTAGCGCCTTAGCGGTCACAGTGACTTAGTTTTCTTTAGGTGAAGAGGAAGATATATGATTAGGAAGATGAGAAGAGGACACTCACCCAATTTTGTTCAAGATCCGTTCTTTTTTGGCCTTCTTGATTCTTTTATACCAATATAACTTACTTTTCGTAAGTCCAAGACTCGATTAATCAGGAGACTGAATACGTCGGACGTGTAGTGAAATCTGACACTTCATATTTTAGTCTCCATTAGCTCATTTTGGTTCCCTTCAGCTAGATAATGCTTTCACTGAAGCTTCCCCACAATGGTTTCATTATTTTTGAAGTTAAACGTTGATCTTAAACAGTTCCCTTTAACAGTAATTCATCTCTGTTTCTGTAAGATGGTGGCTAAGCATGAACTCTGATATCGGTTTCTTTTTATATGAGTGCTTAATCTGGTGGTTGCGCAGACATATATGATATTTTTATATTTTGCGGCCGCCAGGCTTCACAAAACATAATATGTTAAACATGTTTTAATGTGTTTCAGATTAAAAAGCTCGAGGAGCTTGGGATAGGTAGACCCTCGACATATGCATCTATATTCAGGGTTTTACAGGTAAGTGCTTGTGTTAGTAAATTGGTGGCTTTTTCTAGGGCTTCTGTTTCTTGCTGAAAGTCAAGAGGCTCTAAGGTTATGAGGCTTCCGTTTCAAGTGAAGCATAGACTGGCAGCATTTTGACATCTTATTTTGTGTTTCACAGGACAGAAAGTATGTAACAATAAAGAACCGAGCACTGTATCCAGAATTCCGTGGGAGGATGGTATTTTCCTCATTCATCAAGCTCATTGATGATTTACTAAACCAACCATCGCAACATATCTTTAATCTCTGTACTATCTAACAGGTTTCAGCTTTTCTTACCAACTACTTCACTGAGGTCACAGACTATAGTTTTACTGCTGATATGGAGACAGAGGTGAATATTTTAGTTTGTTCTTCACTCGACTCTCTATCAACTGTAGCAATTTCTACATATTCTAAATAGATATTTAACAATATTGCAAGATGACACACTCAATTTTTCCCTTATGATTGATTTTCCTTTCAGCTTGATAATGTTTCTGGTGGTGTAACTGAATGGAAAGGTCTCCTAAGAGACTACTGGACACGATTCAGCGCCTATTGTAAACGTGCTGAAAATGTCCAAATCCATCAGGTACATTCTTACAAAATGAACTCTGGAAGTTTCCTTTCTTTTGACATTTTTTTAATTAGTTTTTTACATTATCATACATTTACAGGTGGAGAAAATGTTGGAAAAAAAGTATGAGGACTTTTTGTTTTCTTCCTTCCCTGATCCCAGCAGGACATGCCCGAGGTCGCCTTACCATTTTCCCTCCCACTTAATCAAATCTAGAAATGCTAATCAATTTCAAGATAGAGCATCTGCTTTTAAATTTTGAAGAAACCCATGCTTTCATATATGGCAGTCCATGCTAAAGATACTTTCACGTGTAGTATCGGTACACAGTTCTGCTAGATTCAAATTGTGCAGTGGTATACAGAGGAGGCCTATATGTTGACCAAAAAAACAGGCCTAAATAAGAAAAAAAAATTCTATATAGGTTGAATGATTGTATGTTGACTCTTATTGGGTTTCTTTCCATGTTTCAGTTGTTCGGAAGGCACCTTAACTTTCAAAGTAAGCAAGCATGGTACGGGGTATTTCATCGGTTGTGATCAGCACCCTTCATGCAAGTAAGTCGACTGTTGAATCTCTAACTTTGTACACCTGAGATGCTTACGCATGTATTCTCTCCATCGGATTTTACTATTAACTTTTTTGAATTTTTATCTCCCCATTTTGTTAACATAGTCGCTGATATAACTGAAGCTATGTGGTTCATATGCAGGTTCATTGCTAAAACGCTTTATGGAGAGGATGAAGATGAAGATGATCCTCCAAGGAATACCTGCGTAGAAGAGCCCAAATTACTGGGTCTTCATCCCAATACCAGTGAGAAGGTTCTGTTCTGGCCCTTTTCTGTGGACAATTTCTCTTAAAACTTTAATTTGCTGAATCTATTTCCTTGTTCAGGTTATTTTAAAGTGTGGCCCCTATGGGTATTATGTACAGCTTGGTGAGGATAAAAAGGGGCACTTACCAAAACGAGCAAATGCAGCCCATGTAAGTTGGAGTTTTATCAATTCAATTACAAATGATAGTCTCTTCTTACATAAATGGAGGCATACTGAGTAAACGTTCAGTGTGCACATATCTGTGCCAGTAACATCTTGACAATATAATGCTTGCCTTTTCTTACTTAGAAATCTTTTGCAACCTCATTTTTCCAGATAAAGGATGTCAAATCTCTTACGCTTGAAGGTGCTCTCGAATTATTACGCTATCCTCTGACACTGGTAAGACTGATGTAAAGGTTAAAGTTATGGCATTTCTTGCTGGGCTGTTTCAACATTTTGGAAAGCTGATGACTTGGTATGCTGATTTCTGACCAGGGAACCCACCCTGAAGATGGGCAGCCTGTGCTCTTAAAGCTCAGTAAATCTGGATTTACTGTTCGACATCGCCGCACAATGGCTACTGTTCCAAAGGTATAGATATGTACTGTTATATATACCTCCTTAGAATAAAATATAGGTAGAATAAGAGGAGCATTTATTAGGAGATGTTGGTGCTATCTTGGATAGGGAAATGAGGTGTGGATCTGCATCCTCGATATGCTAGATATATTTTGTTGTCTATGTTATGGCTTGAGTTCGAAGCATTGTCGTTTTTATTGAGGATAACTTGGTACTTGGCAGAACATGGAACCAGGTGCGGTTACTTTAGAGAAAGCATTGAAGCTCTTGTCTGGCAAAAATGTTAGACAGTGTGGCAGACCTAAGAGGGTCCAGCCAATAGTAGATGAGGAAGATGAAGGATATGAAGAAATTGCAGAGGCAGTGTAATCTAATCCACAACGCAATGGTTACCATTGGTCTAGTTTACAATTGGTTCGTGAGCTTACATGGATGGAGAAGAGAATTCACTTTGATGGAGACTATTTAAAAATTCTTTTTGGTAATCAGAGTAATAATCGTAAGGGAAAATGATTTGATACTGTTGTAAAATCACAACACATTGGTTAATGATATGAGAATATCTATTAGTTTTATGGTTTATGGAATTGTGGTGTTCTCTGTTCTGAGGGACTGCATCATCTTTGAATTTGCTTTTATGTTAGAGAGAAGTTGCAGCTCAAAAAGATTTCATCTTTGAATATTCTCCATCCTGAGCTAGATGGTAAGCTAACTATAATCATATGTACAATTTGAAAACCTTCTACAAGGGAAAGACATTCTACTGTATTATACATTGAGGCTGCAAGTTCAGTTGCTCGTTTTATGAGCATATACACCTTTTAAGGTTAAGTGAACTTCCAGTGGAACATAGATTGCTGATCGTATGTGAATCCTCTCTGTCTCTTCTTATGTGCAGATCAATTTGTTCATCACAACAAAGCTTGAGACTTCAAAGGTTACTGAGGCACAGTGATAGAAGCACCATTCATCTGTTCCTGCAAATGGATATTGGAGAAGAAATCATGAGTTGAGTAAATGGATTTGAGTTTGGAATTCGTATTTTTGTATCAGGTTTATCAGTCCTCACAACTTGGGGGAGGAATTTTGACTATCGGTGGGGGTTGGTCCGGGGCTGTTAATGACGACTGCAGACTGCGTTGATTCTTCAGCAAGTTCTCTTAATCTGTTGAGCTCTGGCAAGATAACTTTGGAAAGATCAGGTCTGTCTTTTCGCCTTATCTCTGCACACTTGAGAGCTAACTTGGCAAACTCTGTGGTGTCTTTAACAGGCCAATCAGACACAGCTGGATCAAGCAAATCTTTCAAATTTCCCTTCTCAAGGGCTTTTTCGATATAATGAGTTAGACCCATAGGTGGTTTTCCTGTTATTAACTGCAGAAAAATAATGCCGAGCGAATAAATGTCAGATTTCACACCCAGCATACCCGTCTGCTGATACTCTGGATCGATGTAGCAAAACGTGCCAGCAGTTGCTGTCATGCGGTACTGTGTCACGGTGTTTGCAACAGATGGAGGGACCAGCCTAGCCAGGCCAACATCAGCAACCTTACTGACAAAGTTTCGATCTAGCAAGATATTTGCTGGTTTGAGATCACGGTGAACCAGTGGTTCTGGTTTAGTCTGGTGGAGGTACAACAGCACAGTGCCAATCTCTGCAGCAATTCTGAATCTCGTTTGCCAAGAGAGGGGCGGGCTGTCTCCTAGTCTGAAAAGACGGTCTTCTAAGCTCCCATTGGACATGAACTCATACACTAAGCATCCACATTCTGGGCATGCTCCAAGCAGAAGAACCATGTTAGGGTGCCTCATGCAGCTTAATACTTCAACCTGTGTTTAATTGATGAATAACAATTAACTAAAGTCAGACGCCAAAGATTGAGCCTGAGGAATTTAAAGTTCTTTAGATGCTTTGTTATGAGATTTCACCTCTTGCTGAAACTGAGACATGCCTTGAGATGCATCTGGGTGCAAAGTTTTCACAGCCACAGGTGTGTTATCAAGATAACACTTATAAAAAGGTCCATAACCACCTTCTCCGATCTTGTATTTATCATCAAAGAACTCTGTTGCATCCTCAATCTCCTCGATGGAGTATTTCCTGTATCTGACATCTGAGTGTGCTAAAGCATTCACGGCTTTTGTTTTCTCCTCAGATTCCTTCAGAGCTTTCATTTCTGCATCGATTCTCTTTCGGGACTCGATTTCAGCAATCCTTTTAGCTGCTTCAGCTGCTTCCATTGCTGCTTTGGACTTTGCTTTTTCCTTCTCTACAATGGCTAATGCGGCTTCCTCTGCAAGCTTTGCCTCTTCAAATTTCCGTTCTTCTTCTAACTTCCACCGTTGAAGCTCTGTTGCCTGTAGGTTCAACAATTCGCCTTTGAATCCGTTGAAGATATAAATTGGGAAACAAAAGTGAAGCCACGTCACTCATTTTCGTGGGATTATACCTTCTGTTTTGCTGTGAGCGCTTCCTTGCAAGCCGTACTGTACATGTCCATCGTTTGTTTCAGCTCCAGTCTAAGCCTCCTCATCTCAGCCTCTACATCGTCCTGGTTTTCCAATATTCACAATTTTCAGCCATAAAACATCTTGCATTTAGCAGTTCCAAGTATGCAACCCGCAAAAAGGTTTACAGATCAGTCTTACCCCTCCTTGCGAAGCAGATGAAAACCTTTCATTCTCAAATGAGCCTGTTGAGAAAGCAGTTGGTGAGCTTATATCCATTGACCTCCGTCCGTAGGTCATTGACTCGAAGCTACCAAAGTCAGTGTCTGAGAAATTTGATAGCCTTGGAGGAGTCCGGTTTGGATCAGAATTGTCATATAAGGAAAGAGAGTTACGCTCAGTGCTTGGTCTTCCAGAGCTGAGAAAGGATATGTCAGAATCCGGGATTGATAGTTCTCCATATGATCTCCCGTTCAAGCCTCTTCTATTGTAATGTGACCTGTTTCAACCGAGAAGTTTCATCGTCTAAAGTCTATGGTCATGATTCCCCGAGCGTGTGAAATGAAAAACAAGACTGATGTGTACCTGAAGGAGTCTGATTGATCGTCCAGGGACCTACGTTGGTGAGACTCAAATGACTGTCTCTCAGCTAGCGG